GAACAATAGCTTTGACTAGATTGCAAATATTTTTATGATGAGAAAAATCACTTGGAAATATTGTCTGAAAACTATAATTACTGAGTATTTTGCAGTCTTCCAATGTCAATCTAAGTCCAATCCTGAAGCCTTAAAAAAGAAAATTTACACTCTCATTCATGCTTCTATGGTTTTAAAATTCTCAAGCTAGTTTACTACGTTACGCTGTCATTAGCAAAACTGACATTATAGAAATCATACCAATATGTATTTCCAAACTTGCTGATATTGGAGGCAATAAAACCATGGGCATTGCAAACTGGGCATCCAACAGCTGCACTATTTTGGATAAAATCATAGTGGAAGAACATAATACGCACAGGTATCAGATACACTTTGATATTCACATTCAATTTCAATTTAGCTCTTTTCATTATTAATTTTTTGGGGTTTTTTAGCTTCATGGGCATAGAGTATGCAGTGAAGCTCACGGTTAATTGACATCTGAGAGAGTGAGGGTTTAAGTTCAAAGACCAGCATCACACTTGGTGCTCACCAGTACGACCATTAGCAGACTTTATATCCCTTAATTCTTTAGACTGTGTCTAGCATTACACTATGGGCTTGAGTGAGCCACCCACACACAAATTCCTGCTACCCTTTGAGAGTCCTACAGTGTCATCCTGGCTCGCGTGTAGACTTCGAAAAGACACACTTGCTGTAAACGTCTTTGTCTGCGATGTAAGCAGTTAAATCCTCTAATAGGTCTTGTGTCACATTTATCAGCCTTGCGCAAGTGTCTTGGATACCTTACAACAGGTAACATGGACCAACGGAAACAGCAAAAAGTATACACTGTCCACACTGCCTAATTCTGAATTTCTCTTTGGAATAGTTCTAGTCCCATTCCACAGACTAGATGTGTATTTGTAGCTGAAAAGAAATGTACTCCTCAAGCATCCCTCCCAGTTTAATATCAGCTGAAGTTCATGTGCTCAGAAAGCTTCACTTTACAAACCAAAGCCACAGCAAGTGGGGATGATGGAGAAATTTGGCTACTTAGACCACAGGACTTGCTTTGAGAAACCTGGTCTATTGGGGGCTGATGGGGTCTGTCTGTCAGAGAAGGGGAAAAACATCCTCAGTCATAGGCTTGCCAACCTGGTGAATACGGTTTTAAGCTAAAGTTCCCGGGGAAGAGGAATTCCTGATAGCTTGATGCCCGTGCCAGCAATAGGTGCCCAGAGCCTGGAGAAGGATCACAGGTCAGCAGGAGAGCACCTGCAGAGCAGCACAAAGGAATTTCAGTTTCATTGGGAGCCCAAGTTAAGTGATTCTAGGCAAACACACCTAGTATGGGGAATAAACAGGAGGAGTTAGAGATGTGCGCATGAATGCAGGGGCTGTCATCTTGTTGGCATCAGAGAGATGTGGCGGGATGGATCCTGCAACTGTAATATTGGAATGGTCTTTAGGAAGGACAGGCAGGGGAGACGAAGAGGGGGCATCACCCTCTATATCAGTGACCAGCTGGAGTGCATGGAGCTGTGCCTAGGGATGGATGAGGAGCTGACTGAGAGTTTGTGGTTCAGAATTAAAGGAAGGGCAGGGGCAGGTAACATTATATCGGAGTTCTGCTACAGGCCACACGACCAGGATGTAAAAAAATATTTTTTCTCTTCTGTTCAACCAGTTTCTTAACCATCTTAAATTTCTGTATTAAACCTGTTTAATCAGTCTGGTGAATTTCAGCATGAAAATCATGCTTGGAACCCATGGAAGATCAAATCTGCATTTATTTCCTCTAGAAAATCTTTCTTCTTATTAAATATTATGACAATTTAGTCTCATTCAGTGTACTTAGTTAAATCACGTTGAATTTTATCTCATGTCCATGTACTGTCATATTTTGATTATTTTTTCCTAAGAACTCCTGCTTAAAATCTTTCTTGCTATTGATTTTAAGCCAACATGTTTATGGACTCCAAGACATTAACACTCATCTCTTTTTCTCCCTGTTATTAGACAGATGAAAACTCTTTTCTACAAACACTAAGCTCATGTGCCAATTTTTTCAGAGTCCTTAGATGGACAACATATATCTCCTTTATGTGATTACAATGAGGTTTTGTCATACTCAAATAATCTCCAAACTATCAGCTTCATCTCTTATCCCTCCTTTCTCTATCCCTTCATCTATCATCATCTTTCCCTCTGTTTCTATTAAATTAATAATTTAGGGTTTTTTTCCTGAATTATCCTTAACTCTACGCCAACCTCATTTCTTCTCTCTTTGCTTCCCTTCTATTTACGAAGCTAAAAGCCCTTTTGCTATGGTATTTTCTTATTAAAATATGTAGACATACTACGCAGGTGGTCTGTCCATGACTGAGAGATATTAGCAGGGAAGGAGGAGTAGTCTATGTTCCTGCTGTGTGCAGCAAGTGTTATATGAATAAATAAAACATTTCAGTTTCCATCATAACCAGCCTCTGGCTTTTTCCCAAAACACACACACACACACACACAAAAGCAAGAACAGATGAATGTTAGGCATTTTAAGAAAAATATTAATTTCTGAGCCAAATAATTCACCAGCAAATGTGTTTGCAATTCCTTTGATTGAGCAATTACTCTTTTCCTCATGGACAGAAAGAGCTTTTAGCTAAATAAAAATGTAGCTGGTAATATGTATAGGATTCATTAGATAATCTTCCATATGCGTCTCACTTGCTTTTCCTCCAAGCTCAGAATGAAAAACAGTTTTGTATCAGGACTTACGCTGCGTATAAGCTTTTATAATTTGTAAACACTGTAGGAGTGTCCTTTCATTTGTCTGATACTGGCAGTATATTGATGAAAACTATTACAGTATATTGACGAAAACTATTACTGTTCTGCAAAGGCTATTGTCATACTAATGATAGGATGTCCTCAGAGCATTGATCATGGGGTATCTTGATAGTAAAACAAAACTTACACCAACAGGAAAGGAAGGAATCTTACATCCTTGTCAGTTCCTAAATCAGATGGTTTCTTCAAAGGTGTGACACATTATAACAAAATTTCAGGACTTCTTATTTGTTGTAAAAATCCCAAAACCTCAAAATCCTGATACAGACGCATTTGCTTTAGTATAATTTTGTTTTCTGTAAAATTACCCTTAGAAAAACAATGTGACTCAAATACTGACACTTATTTGTTTAGTGCAAAATGGAAGATACATCATCAGATTGCACTAGGGAATTTGAGAGTTGGCATGTCATTCCTCTGCCCCATCCACTTTTGAAGCTATTATTTTCTCCTGTCTCTCTGCTGAGAGCAGTGAGTGGTTTCACATCTGAAGTGAATAGAAATACATTTTTCACTGGAATGAAATTCTGTTTTCTCCACCGCAATGTTTATAAACTTCATATAATAAAACACCATTTTTCACAGAACCAGAGAATAGGGGCTATTATTCTTTTTCCATGACAAAAAAAAAAAAAAAAAAAAAAAAAAAGGATATGCAGTGTCATAGTAGTGATATAGTTTGAGCACATTATTGAATCTTAAGCCTTTGGTAAATCACTCCTGGTTTAAATCAAAGGTAACTTAACTTTGTATTTTAACACATCCAGCCTAGAAAGGGAAGGAATTCCCTTTTTTGGCTGCTGAAGAGCCCAAGACAGAAAGCCAGACCTCTTAAACAGCATGATCAAAGTGCCTTACTCCTGGTTAAATACTTCTCAAGAGTTAACCACATTTTACCCTGCATGTTTTCTGATCATAACCCCAATAGGGGACTCTCAGTAGAAGCAGTGCTAGTCACTAAATTAACAGATAGCCCTCTCTAGAGAAATATATCTACAAATCCAACCATCCCTGGGGAGGGGCCACCCACTTACTTAGTCAGACTCTTTCTCTCACACAGAGAGACATCTTACCTTCCTTTCAAAATACATGACATTGAAGCACTCCTTCATCTCCTTCTGCACTCCTATGCGATACCTGAAAATGCTTGCTGAGGGTTATCTGGTTTCAGTGTCCACGCCTGTTGGAGGGCTTCCAGCCTACTTCTCCCATGTCCCTTGAGAGAGCCTTAACCACTGCCCAGCCTGGGAAAAGAAGTACCACGTCTGCAAGCAGGGCTTGGCTTAAATGCCATGGAAGAGTTGCTCTGTTCCATTTAGGCCTGTAGTTCTTCTCTGTCAGGAAAGAAGCAAAGATTATTTCCTGCTCTTACAGGGCTACAGCTTTAACATATAATAAATTCAGGGGCTTTGTCATTTTAGAACAGCAAAAATGTGTTCATTTTCACCTCTGTGTAGCTTCATGGACTTAACGATTAATACTGTGGAAACAAAGCCAAAATTTGAAACTCCTAAAAGTAAATGCTTGAACAACCTTTCTCATGAGTATGCTTCAGTGCAGTTACTTCCCTGGAGATGTAGTGGAACTGCAATCATACAAGACTCAAGGAAAAAAATAAAAGTTGAGCTACAAAAAAGCAGACATTATTTAAGTCCTTATGCTACACTGTGTAGTTATGCCATAAATCATATTTTGACCAGATACAATTAATTTAATGTTTTTTTCTAGTCCTCTTTTACATTTTACTTCCCATTCTTCTCAGATTTTATTTTTAAGGTCATTTTTTTTCTAAATGGAATAGCCTGTGCCTGATATTGAAATGTGATTTGATAATAATATAGCAGTGAAAGTTAAAAGACAAATTATGAAGAATCACCTTCTTTACTTTTTACAAAAAGGTTCATTAAAATTCACTACTGATAAGTGTCAAAGGATACTAATCCACTGATGCCTCCCTGAAACTTTTTGAATTAAGGAAGGAGAAAGAGTAAAATGGGTTTATTACAACCTTTTTGAAACAGAAAATAATTCAATTATCGTCTTCACCATCCCTTGCTACAGAGGCAGCAGTCCTTAATCCTATTTTTTAGCTCTAAAAGATATGATCATAGAATTTGGCTGCGAGCAGGGAAGATATATTTATATATTTATGTATTTACCCTTTTCAGGATAACTATTCTTCCACATGGGAGCCTGCGAATCTTGAATGCTTCCAAGTCTGATGAAGGCCGGTACTTATGCCAAGGTGTAAATGTATTTGGATCTGCAGAAATCATTGCATCACTATCTGTTAAAGGTATGAAAAAATACTTTGATGATGGTGATGATTTACTAATATTTCATTATTGCTAAGAGTCCCCAGCCAACCATATAACAGGATTGTACAGGCAGAATTAAAAAGCATTTCAAACAAGCCAGGAGGACTAACTTCAAATCACTGAGCTGCAATTAATTTCTAAACCACATTTTTGTTGCTTTTCAGATGAATTCTTATATGATCATGGTTTTTGGTTTTAGGTGTTCAAATTTTTGACTTCATTTTTCAAGTTTCTTCCTATTTTTAGTGTGCCTAAAAATATCCTTTTTTATTTTAAATAACAAAACTGAGATTTTCGTGCAATCACAAGATTCCAGGTGCTGCAGCCTTAAAAAATAGATATATATATATATAAAATTAATTACTCCATCTCAGAAGTCCTATAGATTGTTGTTTTTACTTCTTGCTTCAGGGAAACTGGCTGTACCTTCTGCACACCACTGTCATTTCTCAGTGCTCATTATGAATATATTTCAGTATTTGACACTATGTATTTGAAACAAAAAATAAATTTAAGTTCTGAGTAGACTAAGAAGAAAACTATAATATTTTGCCCCTGCACTACAACTAGACTACCATCTAAATGTTCTTAATCCTTCTATATTTCAAGAACCTACAAGAATAGAGCTGACTCCGAAGAAGATAGAGTTAACGGTTGGAGAAAGCATTGTTCTCAGTTGCAAAGCCCTTCATGACAGCACCCTAGATGTCACTTTCTATTGGACACTCAATGGACAGCCAATTGACTTTGAAAAAGAAGGTGGACACTTTGAAAGCATCAAGGCAGTAAGTGACCATGTGTTTGTCATCTGTGTGCTGTGAACTGATAGAAATTTACATGCTTTTACATGTCTTCCATTTACCAAATTCTGATCAAACTGATAGATAACTGGTTTCACCAATGTTGGAAAGAAATATTAGGTAGATGAGATGCGAACTGCGGGTCACTAGAATTGCTTTAAGTAGTTTTAATCAAGAAGGCATTAAAGGTAAACTTATAAATCTTATTATTAGTGAGGTATCTGATGATTTTTGTGAGGGAACAGAAAGTAGTTTAAATCAAATCCTCATTACATTCATCTGCTGATTTTAATATACAAAGGATGCTGCTATAAGCATTGATGTCCTTCTCACAGATAACATGGCTGTTGGAAAGCCCTCACCTCCCAATGCTTTTACTTGCCTAGCATATATTTTAATTTCTGAATAGCAAGGAGTATAGTTTATTTTCCAAGTTCCCTGCATGAGGTAGGTTCTAGCTGTGCAACCATTATTTAAGTCAATAAAAATCATATGGAAAAAAATATGCATACCAATTTCGAATATTACCCCTTGATTCCAAAACAATTTAATATGATCAAGCAGTATGACAAAGTAATTCAAACTGGTTCCATGTAAAATAGTTTGAACTTTTGTTAGTAGAAGTAAACCTCTTAATGTGAACAAGTTTGGAAATAGAATCTACAGTGATTTAACTCAATGTTCCCATTAATGAAATGTAAATCAAATGTCCATGCTATGTTAAAAGAGAAAAATGAAGCCCACAAAGGTCAGAAAATTTGAAAAGTTAACGTATCTAATTTGAGTGCAATGTAGATAAGTTAATTTTGCATTAAAAATCTTGTCAGCTGCAACCCATTTATTCTTCTGCTTCCCTCTATGTAAGTCATACCTTATTCACTTCGTGGCGTGTTTTTGTTTTTAAATTTCATTTTACTTCAATAAGCTTTTACCAGAAAAACATTAGTAAGGTATATTTTAGTGTGAAGGTTCATAACTTACTTATCTTAATTTGAAGAAGTCCAATATTCAAAATCCAGCACTGAGTATATACAAAGGAAAACTATATTTTTTTTTTCAACTTCAAAGTTAAAACATTTGGTTCAAGAAAACATCCTAAGATTATATTTTGACTTTAAGTCGTTTCCAAAAATTTGAAATCTAAAATGTGTTTACATGGTTTCTTCAGTCTGTTTCAGCATCTTCTGTGCTGAGGGGAATTTTTAATTACTGGTAAAAATCCTCAGGCCAGAAAATTTCCAAAGTCATTTCTCCTATCAAAGTAAAGCTAATGTAATGAAATTCCATTTGGTTTATGAAAACAGGATTTTGCAGATCTTTCAAGAATTCTTCATTAATTTCACTTCTACCAGAGAGAGCCTGCAAATTGATAGAAGTAAGGCTCATTCTGTCTGAGAACCTGGTAGATTACATACTGGGACCATTTTCAAAAAAATATTAATGCAAAACTCACTCAAATTACTTTTTCTTTCTTTTTTTTTTTTTTGTCCTGATAGGACTAAAATTTTGCCAAAAACTAGTAGATTTAACCAGCGATTTTAATATGAGTTTACGACTTTCTTCTCACTGTGTTGCTAAAGAGTCACTGTTACTTCACTGAGTGAAAATAGTATTAATCACTCATAATGGAGTCAATGCTCAATATCTAAATGACTAAATGGATAAAAAATGTTGTTTATTAAGTAAAAATCTGGCATCTTTCTTTCAAGAGGCACACAAGTTTTTTTTTTCTTAAAATGTACTTTATAACAAACAGCAAACTTGAACTGATCAGAAAATAAAATCAGGCTGACAAGAATGCATTTCATATTTTTCTAAATATTGCAAAATTAGATCTTACCTTGTCACTGGTGAAACAGTGTTGACATAGTGCAATACTTTGCAACAAAGATATACCAAAATGAAGCATTAGACCCTGATATTTTTTTGACTGGCCTACTTTAATTTACCTTTACAAGATTGCTCACACAAGAGATGGTCAGGCCATGCTTCAGTTACTTGCATTCCTAAATCATTTAAATGTCAAGCCATTTCTTTGCTGGTTTTCACTCCAAAAAGAGAATGGAAGGGTAGGCTTGGATCATCTGGAAGAGGGATGAAAATACCTATTAACACGTTACAGGCAGGATAGGACGGAACATTCTTTTTTCAGAACAGAGATCCCAAAGCATTACCTTATTTGGACAATCCTTCCTGAAATTTTCTGAATGCTGTTGGAAACATTATACAGCATGTTTTTCTCCCTCTTTGAAAGCAGTAGTTAAAATATATGTATATCTCCATTCACCAAAGGGCATATCTTGATTTTTGCATTGTCCTGAAATGAAGATGAATCAGGTGAGAGAAGCAAAACTTGAAAGCAGTGATTGTGGTAATACAGGAAATTTTTTTTATGTTTTGATGCAAAAACTCTATAATCCCATAACTACTCATTTGTGAAATGTTTTCAATTGTATCTCATTATCATTTATGTTAACCATATAAACGTGAAATTAATCACAAGGATGAAAACTTCTTTATTTACTTTCTTAAAACCTAAAGCATGACCAGCTACTAAGGGAAAGCAAGATAAAATAAAACTCTTCTGTTTCTCCCAACATGTAATTTCTTTTAACCTATCCAGTTTCAAAGGAATGATATGCAATGACACAGGTTTAAGAATGCAGAAAAAAAGGAACTTGAAGAAAACATGAAGTCTGATTCCATCTGTATCTCTTATTTTGCATTTCTGAATAAAACATTTTTTTAAATTGCATGAGTTGATCCTGAACAAAATGCTTTTTAATGTAGTACATTTAAGAAAAATAATATCCTTTGTGTACATGAACTTGTAGAATTACACATCCATTTTGTTCTGCACACGTCAATACTTCAGCAGATAAAAAGAATCAGGTTTGACTGGGTTTTGTTTATTTGTTTGAAAGCCTGACAAATTGAACATTATTTGAATGGGTTTTGTTAATAACAAAACCATTGTCAATCTCTCACCACTGGTTGCATTGCTTGTACTTTCACTGTGGCAGACCCAGGTGTTCAGTATGATGAACATTCTGATGCTTAATGCAGTGTTATAAAAGCTATCACCAAAGTAACATTTATTTGGGCTGTAGATAAATTTTCACTTGCTAAAATTGTGTGCTCCCTAACAATTACAATTAAAAGGAAAAGGAAACACTTCTCTTAAAAATACATGTTGCTTTGATTGTTTTAAAATTATAACTGTAGCTTTTGTACCAAAAAAAAGTGTTATAATTTTTCATACTGAGAATAATTGTTATACAAACTGAACATGTTTTTGCTGTTATTTACTGAGTTACAAAGGATTTAATACCTATAGCAATGTAGGTACTTCAGGGACTTGTTTGGCAAGAGGATAAGCATGGTAAGGATGTCAAGTTGAACAAAGCTGTGCATGAAGGGAATATTAAGGAAAAGAGACCAAACCCCATTGGAATGACAGTTGCGAACTGCTCTCTAGGAAAGGAAAACATCCCAAAGGTTGTGTATGCATAACTCCACAGTACACTTAGTAGCAGAACAATAATGCAAAAGTTTCATATAACCAGAATCCTTTGGGGTTATAAAAGTCTTACTTTGTCTACCAAAAAAATTATAACATTTTAGGGTCTGTGTAATTAATAGAAACAATTTTGCATGGAAGTCTGAATTGCCAAGATTTTCTTCTAGGAACACCAGTGAACACTTGAGCACAGAAAATATAGATCCGCTTGTTTTTATTAGGGTAACTTTGATTTTCTCTTGTTTGTGGCGAATCCAGAATCCTGTTCGAAATTCTCTTCAGAATTTCTAAGATTTCCTTTGACTTTAATTTTATCCTAGAGGTATCCTTTTTCTAGCTAAAGACACCTGATTTTGTGAGTAGATTTTCATCCAGCTATCATCATTCCAAATCTGTGTTTGAAAGCCGATACTGTTCTTACAGCAGAGAAGCAAAATGATTTATTGTGGTCATCCACAGAGTAGTACGCAGGAGTATTGGTCTTAGTGTCCCCTCACCTTGACCTGCATGAACACCTTTCATACTCAGGAAAGTGATTTAGTCTCAATATCTTCTTGGTCTTTGATCTTAACTGAAACTGCCACCATGGCAAGCAATAAGCACAGCTTGCCATGTTATATTTTACAGTGGTCATTTGTTCACACAGAAGTGAATTGAAATCTACTGTTTCACTTAGAAAAGGCCAGTAGATACAGACCAGACAATACATTAATTACTGTCTAGCACTGGAGACCTCAACCTAATCTCTATAAGAGAGCGTAAGGTTACACCTTTCCTTACATTTTCAAGTCTCTCCTTAGTTTGTTGTAGTACTTTAATCATATTTTAGAAGTTAATCTTAAAATTTCCTAGGCATTTTCTAAATAGGCAGCACTATTTTCTACACTACATGGAATCAATTAAAACAGCAAGCTGTTAATAATAATGTTTTTCCTCTTTATTGGACATAAAACCAGACAAGGCTAATTAAATAGGGGTTTTATTTAACACCTTCCCTCCTCTCCACACTGAGGAAAACAGCAATAGTTGTCAAAAGTCTTGTAGAAGATATGTGCTCTATGCACAGAGAATTTCTGTTCAGGGTAATGCTCCTTTATCAACCTCATTGCTATCAATTTGTTTCACTGTTTGTTGCAATACCTTCCTGCTGGTGGAAGAGGCTGAACACAGCCATCACTGTCAACTCAAATCTCCAGATATTTCAGCCCTATGCTCATTACCAGGTTTTGCCCATTTGTCACGCTACAGCAGTTAAATACTTGAGTGATCAGAAGCAGTTTCAAAATAAAAAAAAAAAAAATCTTGTCTTTCAGTAACACAAATTTCTTGTAAACTAGGGAGAGTACAAAATGGAATAAGGATTTCTGGTCAAAAAGTTTTGAAATGTGTTTTCTGTTACTCGTAGCTACAAGTCAAAATCTGAACACAGTGGAGACCATGGTCTAATAATGCACTTTGCCTTGTG